GATTATCTGGAGCGGATGTGGAATCTTACACATCGTCCGTTTGTCAATTAGTCAACGTGCACGTGCTAATTAGTCAACATAACGAGTGAACGACCTGTTGGCTCAGTGCCAACGACGATCGTATAAAAACGATCGTCACGGTAAGTTCAGGGCGATCGTCCCCTCAGTGCGACCGTCCCTCCGCGCGATCCTCAGGAAAGTCTGAATACTGTGTCTCCCGTCCCGATCCTGTCCGAGGAGAAGCCGGTAGAAGACATAAGCCTGTGACAGACGGCCAGCTTCCATAGTCCAGAAGGATTGTCGCATACTGTCCTCCAACATAAGGTATAACTGACCGCCGATATAACTCTCTCACTCTAGAGCCAATATAACTCTCTTTGTAAACTCTCACGCGGCATAGTGAATAGTTACAGCTCCCTTATAGATAAATTTATGTTACCCGCATCTAAGCTATAATCAGTAACTTGTATACTCCTGTAAATTACTTTAGTTATATAATAAACCTTTATTTTGTTATTTGTTAAACCTGTCTCCTGTTTATCCGAGGAAACCTGTCGACTTACCGACGCACTCCCCACTCGATTTGCCCTCCTAGCCATCCTACGACTCCGAGATCGGGCTTTACCAGCCTGTGCAGATTAAGTGGTCAGTACGAGATTGACCCCTGACCCACTGCGTATCTCACAATACTTGTATTTAAAATAATCAAATATAAAATAATAAATAAAATAAAAAACTAATAATAATTGAAAATCAAAATAGGTTTTTGCAAAGGTGAGACTCATTACTTTGAAATTAATTTACAAAAGTTAATAATTATATACAGTAGAACCTCGATTATCCGGACCTCTATTATCCGGATTTTCGATTATCCGGATTATTCAAAATAAACAAAAATTTTACGAATTTGCTGATTTGCACTTGGCGAATTACGATACTGTTTATGTACGTGATGGAATGCATAACTTTTTTTGTTTCAACAACGTCTCACCCAGCACAGTGGTCGTAAACTCTTAAATATATTTTGCGTCGTAATAAATATATAATTTGACATACGTATTTATAAATAATTTATATTCAAATTATATTATTTCTATGACCAAGGGCGGCGTATGAGCAACGTGGGCCACCGCCTATGCCTCGCGGTTCGAAGGGCCTCGCGCCTCGAAGGTTTATGCATTACTTAAAAGCCGCGAACGCGACGAAAAAATTTTACTCGTCATAAAACGATAAATAGTTTGTCAAATTTTTATTCATAAAAATGCAGTTTCAACTGCTTTTTATTTTATAAAATCCGTCTTCTTGCGCCACCAGAGGGCCTTTTAAACAATAGGTAGTCTGTTAGCGTTGGTCAGTAGTAGTCCAAATTCAATACGAACGTTTGTTTCTTGAAAATTTGATCACGATTTAAATACAGTATTTACTTTTAATATTACCGATATGTCATCGAAAAGAAAACGTGTTGTATTATCATTAAAAGACAAATTAAAGTATTTGTTTCGATTATCCGGATTTTTCCTTATCCGGACTACCTTCATCCCCAATTAGTCCGGATAATCGAGGTTCTACTGTATGTATAAGTTTGACAGATAAAAAGCTTTTTAAAAGTATTTGTGATATTATAGAGATTAAAGATACCCAGTTTAATAAGATACTATAAATAGCCATTAAATAGCCATTATGTGCCTGTACATCTTATAAGAAAAAGTCAAATTAAACCTTACATATATGCATGTGATATCTATTAGCAAATATTCTCTTTTACCCTTAAATAATACTGTATTATTATTTATAATACTTATTAGTTTGATTGTCTTTTTTTTTCAAATGTGTTGGTGTGTTGATTTTTTCAGGGGCTGCCCACACAGAGAGGTCTGTGGAAGTTCTAATATGTCTCGGACATGCAACATTCTAGAACTTCTACGGCCCTCTCTAGCTACGCAGCATATCTGGAAATTGTGGTGGACTTCACGTGGGCCAAACTTCTCTTCACTAAAACCCACATGGAACACCTCAGATGGTTGGAGGTGGTAGAAACTGTTAAAGCTAATTTTACATCATCCTGTATAAATTTTAAGGAGGAAATGATTTTGTCAATGGCCTGGTAGGCTTTACTTGTCGTGACAATATAGACATTGGTTGAGTTGTTGTTATGAACAGGACAACGCATGCATGGCTTTAAATTTTTATACTCATACTTTGAATTCTGGTTTGAATTTATATTTGTTTCAAAAAAAGCTTTTATGTTCCTAAACAACATTTCATCTGGTAACCATTATAGCACCTGATGAACTCGGGAGTTGGAAAATGTTTGTCTTGATATAGTTGTTAGTTTTTTGTTTTCTTCACACTGGTTATTGGTTGTGTGTGTGTCATTACACAAAAATTTGCTGAAATAATCCACTAAAATGCACAAAAGTAAAAGGTATAAAAAACTGTACATTTATCAACTGATTGTCATATGGTACAGTGAATTAATAAAATCTGGGAGGGTGGAAGGAAGTGCATCTTACATTGGACTCTTTTTATTTTTGAAGTAATGGTTGCCAGATTTCTTTAATAACAATGCCAGTTCATTCTGTTTTCATTAATTTTAATGATTTATAAATGTTTGAACAGTTTTCTGTTTTATAATATTTTTTCCCCTTTAAGAATTTTGATGCTGCTGAATGAGATCTCACAATTTGTTTGATTGCAGTGTGTAGCAACTCTTAGTTGGAATAATTAGCATTTACATGCAGTCGAGTATAATTATATCTGACAGCAATATGTTGCTACATTTGTAGAACTTTGAGGTTATGTGGGTAAGATGATAGATTAGAAACATTCTATAATAAAGAGACAGCATGTTCTTTGCTTATGTGTATTAGTTTTGATTTCATAGTCTGATAATTTACATACCTTGTAGAATGAGAGAGAGAGAGAAATGATGTTAGCACCACAAATTTTAGAAGAAAATAAAATAGTTTTTTTTTGTTCTATGAAGATAAGAATGAAGAAGCTCATTCCAGATGTCTGTCCTTCATTTTTACTGAACTTTTAGTTAATTGAATGTGTGGGCATAGGTCTGAAATGTTCCTTTGTCAATTGATATAATAAAATTTGCATTGATTGGTTAAAGGTATACTAAAGATTAAGTAAAGGTTTAGGTATTTAAGTTTATTAACAAGCAAAAAAGGCTTTTAATTTTACATAATTTTACTGCTTGGATCTCATACTATTTTATCTCTTCACTAGATTCAATCTTAATAATATTAAAAATTGAATATAAAAACAAAACTATCACCATTTGAATTTAAAAACTTTAAAATAATTTCTAAATCTTGATTCAAAAATTTTTGTCATTCAAGTGGTAATTATTGTTTTTTAAATTAAATTTTTAATGCCATTATTAAGATTGGATCTGATGATATATAAGAGCCTCAAAAAAATTTTGTTAAATAATTAAACTAATTTTGCTTATGTTAAGTGATGTTATTCTGCTGTTCGAAAATTATTACCATTATGTTTTTATTGATGACATGTTACCTTATTTCTTACAATAACAACTGAAAATTTCAAAAACTGAAATGAATATTTTTGTTTTTACCTTAGTCAAACAATAATACTAACTGAAAAAAATATTACAATAATACTAAATTTGTAATATTTATGTATTGAAAAAAGATTAGTTTTGGAAACATTAGTTTAAGGAATAAAACAACATAAACTTGCTTTATTGGAGCGTTCTTAAAATTGTAAACAAATATTTTTTAATTATAGTGAGTCTGTGGGGCAAAATATGTTTATTAGTTGAGAAACATTTAGGTTTGCAGTTTTAGCAATGTTCCAAGAAAGTATTTTTATTGTAACAAATGAACCTCGTAGTAAACACTGGATGAAATACAATTCATCACACCAAAATACCTTTGTAACTCCAGTGATATGTATTTACAAAACAGCGAACGTTTTCGACCCCATTCAGGTCTTCATCAGGCTATGGTTATGAGGAATTCGAATGCGTGTGGAATGGAACAATAAAACAAAACAAATGCGATTCAAAATTTAGAAAAGCAAAGTTAAGAATAAAAATAGAACATTATGCTTGTGCTGAAATGAAGGTTAAGCATGTGTAACATCATGTTTGCAAAATGGTGAATGCAGATGAAATATACGCAATTCAAAATCAGTTATGGGGTGGGTTCCCTCATAACAAAATTTCCATGCATTAGATATACTGACTGCATCTCTAGAGTTGATGCATGTGTTACGTAATCCTGCTTTATATATTTCGAGAGTCTTCACGGTTCTGAGCTGATCCATACGGTGTGAGAGCCTGATCAGACGGGCATTTTGTAGGTCAGCTGTGATTCCCGGTTCCATGGCAACAGTTGAGAGGGCAGTGGTGTGTTTTTTATTGTCAATGTCGTATTTGTGCTCACAAAGCCGTTTATGAAGTTTGTTATGAGGGAACCCACACCCATAACTGATTTTGAATTGTGTATATTTCATCTACATTCACCGTTTCGCAAACATGATGTTATGCGTGCTTAACTGTCATTTCAGCATGAGCGTAATGTTCTATTTTTATTCTTAACTTTGCTATTCTAAATTTTGAATCGCATTCGTTTTGTTTTATTGTTCCATTCCACACGCATTTGAATTCCTCATAACTGTAGCCTGATGAAGACCCAGATGGGGTCGGAAACATTCGCTGTTTTGTAAACACATATCACTGGAGTTACAAAGGTTTTTTGGTGTAATGAATTGTATTTTTATTGTTTTTATTTTTTTAAGAAGAAAGTTATGTTTTATTTTATTTTTAAAGAATAAACTTTATTTTTCAATTAAAAGAAGAAATATTTTATTAGAATTTAATTTTAGAAAATTATTATTTCATCTTTGCATATGCCAAATGCATATTTTTCTGTATACAGTATATAATTTTAATATTTTTTTGAAATTGATGATTTAAAATGAGTGTTTTTAATTGCAAGTATAGTAAATAATACTTATTTCAGAACAAAATTGATGAAATTCATCGAGCAGTTTCACAAGGAAAATTAAGAGAAATTCAACATCTTATTGATAGAAAAAAACTGGCTTTCTGTCGTGATCAAATGGGTGCTAGTCCTCTACATAAAGCTGTGTTATTTAAGCAGAAAGAAATAATGACATATCTGATAACTCATTATGGAAGCATTATTCATACTCGTGATCACGTATGTAAATTTTTAAATAATTTTTTATTATTTGGCATAAATTCAGAAAGTTATTAAATTTATAATAAAACATTTTTTTCTTGTTATAATAAATTTAATTTAATTTTTTATTTAAAAATCTTTTTTTCTGTTTTTTTTTTTTTTTGAAATCTGAAAATGTTTTATTTCAAATATTCTGAATATTTGTAAAACAGCCAGATTAACTTTTATAATTTATTAACATGTATTTGCTAAAATTTAAATTGTTTTTCAGAATTTATTTTTTCCATTCTGTAGTTAATTTAAAAAGTTGTTGTGATATACTAATTTGATTTTAAGAAAATATTCTCTATTATCCCAAAAATTACAAAAATCAAGAACAGTCCATTTGATTTAAATTCAGAAATAATAAAAACAACAATTAAATGATATTTAAATTTAGATTTACAATTGAGTGTATTGTTATTCCAAATCCTGAAGATGTTATAGGAAATCCTCATTGGTTCAGAATTCAAGGGACAAAACAATTGTGACTTCAAATTATTAAGTTTTGAATTATTTGAGAATTACATATATCTGTATAATATGCCAAATGCCATATAACAAATGTAATTTATTAAACAAACAGAATATGGATACATATACAGAATACTATTTTCATTAATAAAAAATTAATAATAATATAAATGTGAAGGTAAAAATATGCAGGCACTTTGATCTAAAGGAACAAGCTAACATATGCATATCACAGTTTGGACAGACTTTGAATTTTAAAGTAGCTGTATTTCGAACTAATGGAATTTCTTAACATGTAAATCTCTATATCCACAGCTGGGACAAATAGTACAGTTATGAACTAATGGGATTTCGAACTATCTGAGTTTGAATTAATGAGGATTTCTTGTATTGATAAATGTAAAGAAAGTATTTTTCTATAATTCATGTTTATGGTATTTTAGAATTTGTTCAACACTGATGTTCAATAGGAATGTATTTATCAAATTAAAATATATAAAAAGTATAAGAAATAAATTATTTAAAGCAGTTATATTGTATCATACTTGATGATGATATGGGGTTAAAGTACAACACTAATACCACATTAAATATAATATAATTATAATCTAAATGTAATATATATCAATAGCCAGTCTTTAATTACAAGATACTATCTGTATAAAGTAATACTTTGCAATTGAATGTTTGTTATTGTTTACAATTATTATTACATTCTAACAGTTTACTTTAAACTGCTTTTTCTCTCATTATTTGACTTTTGAACCACAACTAAAACAAAGATCATAATACAGTAGAATCTTGTTTTAATGGATCGTGGAACAATAGATTTCTTGGAATAATGGATTTTTTTTTCCAGGTCTTGCCAAATCAATGTAATTTTACCTTTGTTTAGTGGATCCATTACACGGAATAACAGATTTTTTCTACCCCAAATCTATTGTAAACTTTTTCAAACTCACATTTTTTACTGTTTAGTTAATATTTGGGTATTTCTGGAAAATTTGTAGAGTTTGATGATGCACTTGTTACATTTGGGGATATGGATAATTCTTGAATTGTACAAAGAGAGTCAGCCAGTTGATACGATTGAGGAGAAGTCATCTAATGAACACTGTCGCTGGTCTCAATGTAGTACCAAAATTTAGTGAGGCCATCAAGTATTTCCAAATTGTGATAATCTTCCTGATGAGTTTCAGCATAAATGTTTCTTTCAGCATAAACTTCAGCATGAGTTTCAGCACATTTGTTTAGAATAGGCTGTACTGTATGTACAGTACATGACATTGCTAATATCAATCAATGGGGTGTTGTATTCAAAAGACAGAAAAGTGGCATTGAAAGAAACCAAGATAGGAAAGTTTTTTAACAAATTGTGAAGTAAAGCAAAATGCTAAGGAGCATATGTAATTTGCCTCTTTTTTTATGCTTACAGTATGTACAGTTTTCGTCAGTTACAAAAAATTTAACTTTGTTGTACACATGTATGGCATAATATACATGTATGTTATAAACATACTAATAATATGTTTCTATAGAATAAAGAATTTAAGAGGCTGAATTATTTCAAGTACTGGTATTTCTTATTTATAGGGGTTAAAAAATGGATATTTTCCTGGGTGTATGGGAAATCTGTTGTTTGCAATATAATGGATTTTCAAAACAACAGAATTTTCAGTGACCTGAGCAATCCTTTAAAATGAGATTCTTTTGTAGCAAGTTTTCATTTGTACAAAATATTGACAAATATTATCTAACTTTTTTCCAAATAATTAAAATTTTGTAAGCTTGCCAACTTTTAGGGGGGATCAATTTATCCTGCATCAGGATGAACCTAATGGATGTTCCTATGTGGGTTGTGGCAGAGGAAACAAATGTTGACAAGTGTCTTACAAAGTTAAAAACCATTTATTTTGTCAAATTTATGCTTACATTGATAGTAGACAGTTCCCAAATCTCGGTGTTCCTTTGAAGTGGTGAGAGTTTCGGTTTATTGGTCATAGCCCTGGGGCAGACAAGAAGGGTTTGTTGGATGGGTATGGAAAATCGGTAAAGATGCAGTGGCATCTGTGTGGTCGATGGCAATTCAACACAACTTAATGAACATGACTTTGGGCTTAATCTAGAGGAAGACCGTTTCTCGACCTTGAATTACCGATTTTATAGTTTTTCTCCCACTCTCCGTATTTCTGATTGGCCCTGCATCACATTTTTCACTTCCCGATTGGTCTTTTCTTTGTTTCCAGGTGAAAACTGAGACCTGATTGGGTCACGAGAAAAGTCGGATTCTAGGTGTCTATTCGGCACTTTTTTGTTGACTATGCCCGGAGATTGTTGATCGAACCATAAGCCTTGCACTCATAATTTAGCCCATTGTTTGTGATTTCTGTCGTCTTGGCACTTTAATGATCATATGCAATGTTTTTCTATCCATCAAATCTTTCCCCTTTTCTAAAATTGTTTTCTTAGATTGACTGTTTATGAGCACTTGAGTCAGAGTTCCACCTGTTGTTTTTTCTCAACCAACATTCCATCATCCATTATGTCATTTGTTTTCGTGTTGCATTTGTTTGACAGTTACAGTTTTTTTTTCCTCTTCTCTCTTTTACATAACTAACATCGCCTTTTGATCCAACTCGACAATAGTGTTTTTGCTCTTAATTAATTTGAAATTAAATTTTTGTTTTGACCGTTTTTGGAACCTCACAATTTTCATATAAGTTATACACTCTGAAACAAAATAACTTAAATTTATATTATTTCTGTTAAATATTTTTAACAATCAAACTGCCAAAAGTTTTGTCCAAAATGATAAACAGAATATAAAACATGATATATAAATATGGTGAAAACTTGATTATCCAGTTCAATAGGTGGTGTTTTATATTTACAAAAAATATATTTCTTGGTAGATTATACATATTGGATGAGTCTATTTCATTTGATTCTTTCACATGCTGTTGAGATAATAACGATTTCATGGCAGAGTCGACCTTTTATTGTAGGCTACTCACCCACCATTGAATGCAAAAAAGTTAAAATAGTTCTCTAGCAGTGGTGCAATGATAAAATTAATAAATGCATTTAAAAAAATTTCTGATGGCGGACGAGTAGCCTACAATAAAAGGTCAACTTTGGCATGGAATTGTTATTACCTCAACAGTGTGTGAAGGATTGAATGAAATAGACTCATCCAATATGTATAATATACCAAGAAATATATTTTTTGTAAATCTAAATTTATCCTGGCAATTTTTTTAAATGGTGTTTTATATTTTTTAATTATAAGTTTATTATAAATGAACTTAATTTGATTATTATGAGTTGTGTCATTGAATCAAATATTTCTTTTAAATCATTAATAATATATTGTCACAAAAAATATATTCACCCATAAAAAATTGAGTTATAGTCATAAAACTTGGCATGTATGTATTGTTTGAGGAGATATGAAAATTATTACAATTTGGGAGCAAAAGATATCTTATTAAGAAATGGCAGTGACAAGATGATGAATTTTAGTAAGTGGTAACTCCTCTCCTGACAGCTATACAAGCTGATATTAGATGTGACATAGAGTCAGTTAAGTTGCTTATGTTCCTCTGTGGAAGATTCTATCATAAATTTTGCAATTGGTCGGCTAATTGAGGGGTTTTCTGAGAAGGCTGCAGTTGCCATCTTAGTATGTCCAAGAGGTGTTCTATTAGTGATAGGTCTAGGTACAGTATGTGGATGGCCATGGGAGGATATTACATCCTCAAAGACATTGTTGAGAAAGTCTTGCAGTATGTGATGAAATGTTGTTTTAATGGTAAATGGCACCTGGGTGGATTGATAGCATTCACAGAACAGTCAACTGCAGAATGTTATCGACATACATGCAACCCTCAGAATGCTTTGTAGCACAACTAGAAGAGATTGGCTATCCCAAGAGGTGGCTCCTCAGATATAACACCATGTGTGATGACTGTGATGCCTAACAAAAAATGTGGGATCAGAATGCTGATCAGTCCTCTTCCACACATGTATGTGGCAGTCATCAACACTGACAAGGAAACTGTCGGAGTGTCTTCTAATAAATTTTAATAAAATTTAGTTAATAACTACGTTAAAAGTATACAAACTCTATTTTAAATTTGTAGCATTCACTAAAAGTGTTGATCAGAGTTATTAGCAATCAAATGCTGCACTACTTTATACTAGTTTAACACAATTATGCAAATTTTAAGAAGTGAAAGGGTCGCGGAGGAAGACGGTGATATTACATTTAGAATAAATACTGGAATTTTCAAAAATGGGAGAAGAATTAATAAAATTTAGTTAATAATTATGTTAAAAGTATACAAAATTTTATTAATTCTTCAACCATTTTTGAAAATTCCAAAATTTGTTCTAAATGTAATATTGCCGTCTTCCTCCGCGACCCTTTCACTTCTTAAAATTTGCATAATTGTGTTAAACTAGTATAAAGTAGTGCAGCATTTGATTGCTAATAACTCTGATCAACACTTTTAGTGAATGCTGCAAATTTAAAATAGAGTTTGTATACTTTTAACGTAGTTATTAACTAAATTTTATTAAAATTTATTAGAAGACACTCTGACAGTTTTCTTGTGAGAGAGCAGTGGAATACATTGCTGAAGACAACATGCCTCCAATCAGACACTGTCCAAGATGATCTAGCTCAGCATCAATGCAGGCAATTCTGTCTATGTTAGGAGGTCTAGTTGGTGTCTTAATGGATGTTGACATATAATCCCAGCATCTGCCATTCAACTACAAATAATATTCTTTTGGACTTGTCTCTAAATCAGACAATTGTTTGTAGTGCCATTGTCTACTTTTCAAAGGCATCATCTTACATAGCTTTCAGTATCAAAGCAGAAAATCCAGTTCAAATTGCTGGTGAGTGAGAACACTAGTCCTTTTAAATGCTGTACAATGTATTGTTCTTATGCATTGAATGAGCTCTTTAACATTATTGGCAATGAAAGTTTGATCATTTGTATTGTGAAGTATGAATGAAAATACTGTTAGCTGATGAGGGTGAATACAGTGAACAAGGAACCATGCACAGAGATGATGGGGAAAAAGTATTTGTTTATGTGTAAAAGATACAGATTCTGATGGATTCCAACTCTAAAACAGTATAACAAGCGATCATCCAAAGTCTGAAATGTTGGCGGGACAATTACACAATATCGCAAAGTATACAATGAGCTAAGCTTGGGTAATACAACACGAATTTTCTTATAACTAATGCTTAAAAACTAACTTATGCTAAGAGAAAAAAGAGATCAGAGGGTATAGGCAAGAAATAGCAAGATGGCTGATAGAAAAAATAGAATACCCAGGATGTACAAATGTTATTTAGTGCTTCTGTGAGGGGCTACATGGAACTTCCTTAGACTCATTTTTTGCTTCTCTTGCTTTTTTTTAAATCTGAGATTCACTAAGCCTTCATTCCAATAAGTTCATAAACTTTTCTTACTCTAGTTTCACACTTTTCTCAGATACTGGACAACACTAAGCACTATCTTCATCTTCATGAAGATCAGCCAAAAAATGTCCTTCACTCTCCACATGTGCTTTCAGGTGACATCACCTTCATTGTTCTTGTGATTCTAAGAAGTGACAGTCACCACCAAGGGGAAAAATTAAGATTAGAAGATTTTAGAAGTAAGAAAGAACAAAGAATAAAGAAAAATGCTAAAAACTACGAATTAAACTGAAATTATACATCCACAGTGTAACTCTTCAAGTGACATTTGCATGCCATGTTTTGTGGCTTTATCTCATTTTTTTTATGGATACATAATTTCTTTTGTAACAGACTGTATTTTAAAAATGCTTAGAAAAGATTTATATATATTTTAAATAAAACTTTATTTTTTTTATTCTTGTAGCAAGGAAGAACTCCTCTTCATTATGCTGCAGTTCTTCAAGATAATGGAGAAATATTCAATATGTTATTGGAAGCAGGAGCTGATATTAGGGCAACAGATATGGTTAGATTCCAAATAACTTTCAAATATAATAATAAATAAACTGTTACTGCTATTACTAGTTATCATATTTAAAAGTAATAGTTGATTTATATTTTTTTATCAAAAACAAATAGAAATGCTTATTTTTTCATTTACATTAATGTTTAATTTTTTCAAAAGGAAAAAACAAATTTAAAAATATTTTTCTTAATCTCCTTTAAAAATATCTTGTAATATATACTGTTGAACTATTTATTAAATGTTAATTTAAAGTAAGAAAGAATATATTTAAATGTTAATGTTAATATTAATTAATTAAATTAAATTAATTATTTGACAACATAGATAAAAACTCTTCAATTGATGATATTTTTATTTTCTGTATAAAAAAGTATTTCATCAGAATAAAACTGGAATAAATATATTTTATTATTAATTAATACAGTATACTTTCTACAAATACATAGTACATAATTTTATTGAAGGATTATCACACAATGGAAACCATTATTGCCTTATATGCCTCCTAAAATGCATTTTGGTCCCTGGTGTTAAATGGCCCTCATCAGTTAGGTAATCAAATATTATTTATAATGCAAAAATATTTAACATATGCACTATGTATTTGTAGAAAGCATATTGTATTATATATAAAAAAGGATTAAAGGCTAATAAATCTAAGTAAATTATAAATTTTATCAAAATATTTCATTAGAAATTTTGAAAAGCTAATACTAGAATAAAGTTTAGGATTTTCAATAATTTTCAGTTTCTCTAAATCATAAAAGATATTTTTATAATTCAATGAATAATTTAATTTTTTAAATTATTATTATTATTATTATTACGTAAGGTGTTGTTGCATAACAAATAGCTTCCATTCCAAATACAAACAAATATGAAAGTATAAATTTCGAATCAACTCAAAAGACAAAAATTACATAATATAATGAAAATAATAATGGTTAGCTACTAATATACATAAAAATATGATACAAAATTACCAATACAAAGATACACAATGAAAGTAATTAATATTATTTACTGAATTAATTTAAGAATTAATTTAGTGAATTCATCAAATTATGTAATGTAAAAAAGATTTAAAAATTTAATTTAATTATTTTTATTCAATTATTATTTAAACCATTAAATCATTATAAAATTTGTTTAGTATGGACGTCGCCCAGAGCATTATATGCAATCTCAGGAAGGTTTTACTTTACAAGATCTTAAAGCAAGTTCAACTGCAGCAATTAAAAGAAAACAAAAACATACGTTGCCAAAACATCATCATAAGAAACATACATCAAGTAAGTTACTATAATTGTGTTAAAAATGAAATAAGTAATAGATCTTAATAAATTAATAGAAATTGAACGTAATAGCAAATAATCATTTCAAACTTTTTTATATCTTAAATTATTAATGATCTTACAAATATAAAAATATAAAATATGATTTCAGAAAATAAATCACATATTCAAGAAATTATAGATGAAGGTAATTTAGAAAAATTAGAAGAATTGGTATTACAAGGGAAAGGAGATAAATTATTTGGTGAGACTTCTGCTAATAAATTAGTTCAAGATTTCCTTGACAAAGTTCCTTCATATATGGTGAGTATTACTTGTTTAGCTTATTGAGATATTTATAGGTTTAAACATAAAATGTGATATTCAATGTTGGATTATAAAAATGAATGCTGGCTAGTATTATTATTGATGTTCAATTATTACTGATATTAGGAATTATCAAATTTACAAAGTTAATTAAAATAATTCAAGTACTTCATTCAAATTATTTTTTATATATTTGTCACCAGAGCAAGACTTTTCTTTCTAGCTTACTCTCTGGGCAAACTAAAGATTTCTTGTCTTTCAACAGGAAACATATTTGCTTTTTGGTCAGTGTTGTGACTGGCTTTGGTTACTTTTGTAAACATCTGTGCCAATTGAAACTTTCCTTCTCAGTCTCTTGAGGCTTTTGTGGATCTGCTGAGGAGACTCATCTGCATCTCATTTGTGAGAGTGTAGATTTTTGAATCCCTGTTGTCTTTTTTTAAGAGATCAGACTTCTGAAGTAATTTTTTGTGGAATACACAATGGACCTTTTGGCTTGAGACTCATTTGGCCTACTGGTTCCAATTGTGTAACAACAATAACAATATATTAGTCACAATATTCCAATTTAACTAGTTTTATGTCTTTTTTGGAATTATTGCTGGTTTCATTCTTACAGCATCAATATTTTTTTTTATTCCAATTATCACCTACCAAAAATGAAAAAAAAATCACTCAGTGGCTGATTATTACAGGAAATATGATATACAAAATAAGATTTAGTTAAATTATTTTAAGTTGTTGAAAGAAAACATTTTTACAAAATGTACATATATTAAACTTATTTAAACACAGAAACACTTAAGCTTTTTAAACAATGTCAAAGTTTCCATGCGTCAACAATTAAGTGTTGGGATTTATTTTAGAAACTTTCTCAAACAAAAGAAGAGATTGTTGATTTTGCAAGGATATTCGATTGTCTCTTGTCTACCTGACTTGAGGGAGATGGAAGTACCAGGTGGAGAAAAATGGGTTTTTTTCCACATTATAATTAACTGTATAATTAACTCCAGAATCTCACATTATTAACGCAATAAATTATTAACACTAATTACTGACTAATTGGTATTGGCTGATAATGCATGGCTGATTAATTTGCAATCAGTAATTGGCCATTTTGCTTATTGGTGCATCTGTTATCATATTATAGCATTTCTTATAATGAGACATGCAATATATAAGACAGAAAATAACTGAAAATACTGATTATATAATGATCAGAAGAACAACAGGAAGTTGTCTGCAGTCATCTCCAGACCTCATTTATCAGGCATGCAGATGCCAAAATAATTAAATCAAAAATAATACTGGCAATTGAAGATGCATATCTACCTTTTGATAAATTACTGATGATTGAATGCAATGGACTAAACGTAAACAAAAAAGTATTTTGTCTCATAAATGAGGAAATTCTAACATCTCTCAAAAAAGGCCTCATCAACATAGGGACTTGCAGCATTCATACAATCCACAATGCCTTTTTAAAAGACCTGAAAGAGTTGGGCAGAGATGGTGGTGATCTCATCATATCAACACAGCTTTTTTGATGGGTGGCCCTCTAGGTAGGATGAATACACAGAAATTCAAGAGAAACTTAATTTGCCATGCAACAAATTTATGAAGTATTCATCAACTAAATGACTGACATTTGGTCCTGCAGCAAAATGATTGATCGAACAATGGGAAGGACTCATATTATACTTCCTAAACCACATTCCTCAAGAATTCCAGCTTAATGAATAGTGTTTCATATAAGATAATCTCAAAGTCATTGAAGTGTTCTACCATCAAAGCTGAACTCTGGAAATATATAGTGCTGAACTATTCACAAAGTTTACTGGGCATTTTCAGTGCAATGATCCTTTAATACATAAACTTTATAGTGAATTGCTTCCTCTGGTGTGAAGAAAATTCACTGTGATGAAGAGGAGAAAACAAGAGAAGTGCAGAAACTGCAGCATGACATAAACAAAAGAAAATCATCTTTAATTACAAATTTTTTTAATAAGAAATCAAAAAATGTACCTTGAAATAAATGTCATTTGAAATTTGACATGTTATATGGAGACACATTCTGGTAGTTTTGTTACTCTTCTATTTCCTTTGTTGTATAATGGTAGGAACTTCGTACGGGGCACATGAAAACTTAATGCAGGCCTCTTCTGGCTTAATGCAGTCTTACTGGTCACTTTTCTGGAGTATAAACTCAGCCTAACTATTTTCATATTTAATTTTTTCAGTCCAATTAAAAATCAATTTAATATCATATGCAATGTTATTCATACAAAACACGTGTGTGTTTGTGTGCTTTTTTAATAATGCCTCTTTTACTTCACTTTAACACTATTAGCTTTTTTTCCAGTGTGAACTCTGTTTTTTCACTTTTTTTCACTGCCATGACTGCTTTAAGCCCTGCTGATTGGATGCATGTTTGCAATCAGCACAAGTAGAACAAATGCTTTGTTTCTAGTTGTGGTTGCAGTTGTGCCTGTTTCCAGAGGGGATTTACTAGTTATCAGGAACAGTTGTTGCAGTTGCAGTTGCCTGCGTGGCTGGAAATTGCAAGGTATGACTGCAGCTTTAAGCTTCTTTGCTTCCACACTATTCTTGGCTGCCATAGTTAATAGTTAGGAATTATATACATATATATATATATATATATGTATATACTTCTAAATATCAGTTTTGGTAGCTGTTATTATGATCTATGTATGTATGTCTCTTTAATCTGCAATTAAGTTCGGTAGACTATCAATACAGCTTTCAGGTTAGACAATGTGGAAACAATAAAAGAAGTGTCTAACCTGAAAACTGTATTGATAGTCTACCTAACTTAATTGTGAATTAAAGAGACATACCCTACATAGATTATATATATATATATATATCATTATATATTTTATAGCTAGATATTATATATAGTATATATAGATATATATATATATATATAGATATATATGTGTGTGTATGTGTGAAAGGAGAATTATTTGTTGTCTTTCACAATTCCAAATTTCAAACATCAAATTGTGACCGGAGGGTCGCACCTCTTTAGTGCCTCATCAGGACTGACACCACCACGTCCCGATTAACATGGAAGCCA